CACCCATATCATCACATTTTTTAAAAAATGAATTTTAAGTAGACACTTGCAGATTTTTTTTTAACTTCAGGAATTGTATTTTTTAAAATCACCAATTTATATATAAATTCAAAGATTTGCCCCTTTTGATGACATTCTTTAGAAAAAATCAAAGTCCTTGAGAGTAAAGGCTGGTTGTTCTTATCTTTGCAATACTAGAACCTAGCACCATGCCTGGAACACGGTAAGCACTTAATAAATGCTGATTAATTGTTGTTTGTCTTAGTTTCCTCATCCGTAAAATGAACCAGAGAAGGAAATGGCAAACCACTCCAGCATCTTTGCCAAGCACCAAATGGGGTCATTGAAGAGTCAGATACAACTGAAAGACTAAACAACTGTCATTCCTTGGGAAATAAAGCAGAGGTCACCAATGCTTCTTCCTCACCTCTTTACCAACTTCTGGACATCAGTGGAAGAGGAAAAACCCTCCAAACAGTCATAAGTTGTTCTGCCAATTGGTTGACGGGCACTTGTCACGGGCCTCCAATGCTTTTCCTATTTTGGAGTGGGGGGTGGGGGTGGGGGCAGTAAGTAGGCTTGTCCCAGGGCCTGGGTTCTGGAAGCATACTTGGGTTTCACCAGGGCCCACAAATATAGCAACACAGAACGACAGGACTGTTAAGGGAAAAAAGGAGGGGGACTTCACAATTCCACATCCCAGCCCTGTTTTTCTATTTTATGTAATGAAATGTTTATGTTAGTTGATGATTGCTATGTTAATAATTTAAAAAGAAAAACAGAAAAGGAAAGGATTTTATTGTTTTTTAAAGAGCTCGTGAATAAGCATTTCGAAGGAGCACAGATTCAGCTGCCGGAGCTGGGAATTCCCGGCCTAACAGGGATCATCAGCTCCAAGGCTTTCATTATACACATAAGGAAAGTGAGCCCAGAGAGGGTCAGTAACTAACCCAGGGTCACACAGGCAATAAATGCCAGAACTAGAATTTGACTCCAGATTGTCTGCCTAAAAGTCCAGTCCTCTTTCCAGTTGGCCACACGGTCTCTCATATTAGTAGTTAGATGGACGAGAGGCACGGAATAAGCATTGAGACAGCGCCTACTATGCCCTTTTACAAATAGCTCATTTAATTCATTTAATTCATTGGTTAGCTAGCCAGGTATCTCCGCCTTCCTCCTGTACAGAAGGCTACCTGGGGAGTGGTAGAGCCTGAGCAGCCCAAGATGACTTTGAAAAATTAGACAAGTGGATCAAACTGGAGATCATCTCTCTCCCAGGCATTCTGATAGGCAAGGGAGGCAGCTCACAAGATTGGATTCCAACAGACTGAAATTAGTATCCAGGATGTACAAGCTAGTCCTATTCACAGATGGTATGAAGCTAAGAGGGAAAGCAAACAGAGAGGCAGCACGATGAAGGAAAAAGAACACTAATGCTATTTGGCACCTGGCTCTGCCCCAGGTGACCTTGGGCCAAAGGCCAACTATCTGTGTGACCTTGGGCAAGTCACCTCAATTCTGTGTCTTGGCTTCCTCATATCTAAAATGGAGTATTGAATTAGATGATTCAAAGGCCCCTCCTAGATCTAAATCTATGATCATATGATCAGGTCTCAGTTTCCCCACCTGTAAAATGAAGAGGTTGAACTAGATGATCACTAAGTTCCTTCCCTTGCACCTCTACTGTTTTATGGCCCTGTGATTTTGATGGCAGATCAAAGAATTGGGATTCAAAAAAATCCTAGACTGATGACTGAGGAAGTTGGATAGCAATAAATATGGAGTTCTCCAGTAATGTCATCCTCCCATGACTCATGGTGGTGTGGAGGTAACTCTGGCCTCCCCAAGGCAATGCCAGCAGAGCACACCCAGTGATGGACTGCCTGGTGGAGGAGCAAAGAGCTGGCCACAGCAAGATAAACGTGGGGGCCACAGACACTCTTGGGGACAATCTATGAAGTCATAGAGGAGTTGCAATTTATGCCAGTAGAAGGAATACCCACAATGACCAAAGCATACATGCTTGATTTTTTGGAATAAATGAAACATTCTTTGCTTGGGTTAAGAAAAAATGCCCGAGCATAAGATGGAAGAAATGGGGTGAGAAAGCAGGTGACAGGGAGAAAGCCCTAGAAGCTTTAGGGGCCTGCAAACTCAGGAGCAAGTCAGACATGTGGCATGTGGCATCAAGGAGAGCTAAGGAGATGTTGGGGGCATCAACAGAAGAGAGCCAAAGTAAGATGGGTAGTAGCCCCCCACTGTTCTCTACCCTGGTCCAGCCCCAGCTGCAGGAGCACTCCATCCAATTCCGGGCATTACGCTTCATAAGGCACACCGGCAAGGTAGAACACTCCACAGCATGGTAACCAGAATGCTGAAAGGCTGCCATGGCACTGCCTCATGCTATATGAGCAGCAGTTGAATGAACTGGCTCTATTCAGCCTAGAGAAGAAAAAAACTTAGGTGGGGAGTAGGAAAGAATGACCCACAATCCTCCAGTATTTCCAGGGTTGTCCTATAGAAACCCTATTTATGTTTTGTTTAAGTCTAGTAGAAAGGGAACATGGTAGAGACAGTGAGCTGTCTTTGAACCAGGAAAACCTGGTTTCAAGTCCTGCCCCTGTCACACACTGGCTGTGTGACCCTGGGAAAATTACTCCTCTCAGTAACCTAGGTAACTAAGACTGTAAGTTGCAGAGGTGGCAGTGAACTGCACTGATGGAGGGAGTTTCCTCACCTGGGAGTTCCCTATGCCAATGAAATCACAAGTCTCTATCCTCAACCCTGGAAAGCTGAACTCAAAGCAAGAGGCAAAAAAAGTTTCAGAGGAGCAGATTTCAGCTCACCATGAGGAAACACTTAGAATCTAAGCAGTCCATTTGGGGAATGGGTCCCAGGGTTACCCAGCAGCACCCAAAGCCTTACAGGGGAGATTAGAGGCCCACCTTTGGTGGATGTTCCAGAAAAGATTCCTGCTCAGGCAGGGGTTGGAGCCAGATGTTTTTTGAGGGGCTGCCTGATGTGTAATATAGAATCACAGAATCCCAAAGCTGTTCAGATATGGGACTCTGGATGTCCAGATGATGGGGTCAGCTCCCTTACTTCCCAGGAAGCCTCCTCTCTAGGCTCAGTCAGGCACCTCATTCTAACGACTGCACTGACTACCATCAATAGCAAGGGGCACCAGTGCAGAACGAGTGTGTGGTTCTGGGCAAATCCAGTCCTACCCCCAGGAAACAGAACCCTCAAGCCCAAGTCCTCCTAATGATACCATTAGCAACATTACCTTCATATATGGACAGCCCGGTGTCAGTTCAGAGAGGTGGGTGTTACTGTGCAATCTGTCACAATGCAGGTCCAATCTTTGCCAGGGTAATGGATTTCTCACACCTCCATTCCAGATGTGTGATATCCAATTGATGGGGAGTGGGCTGGGCTAATGGCTGTGTCAGGATGCAGCACCAATAAGAGGGCTGAGGAAGGCAGGCGGAGACTGCTGTTGCTAGGGCAAATCAGGTACTGAACTTTGGGGGGCCCTAGGATTACTGTGGGGGTTGGGATGTGATTAAGGGAAACAGTGGGGAGTTATGGGAAGATGGTAGCGCGTTAGGAGCCACGGGAGTCCACAATCCTGACAAACACTCCAGGAAATGTCTAAAAATGCACCAGAAGGAGCAAAGAGAAAGACAACCAAAGAGAATCAGCTATAACTCATTAATCCAAAATAGGATCGTGTAAAAAGCCTGATCAGAGTGGAGACAAGCCAGGCAAACAATGGGAAGGAAATGGGAATTTACCCCCCACCCCCAGCCCCAGCCCCTCTGGCTGGGTCTGGCCCTCTAGGGACTTCCCCTTTTACAGATACACTTAGTGATCACAGAAAACGACTGTTACCACAGTGATTTGGAGAGAGAGGGGGGCAGTGAGCTCCCAGTCACTCCCCCTCATCTGGGGTTCTTCCGTGTTATTTCTAGGGATGACCCTGGTTCTATTCTATTGAATTTGACCTACTTTTTGTCCTTGCCCCTAATGTTCAAGTGAAAGGACGTTTGTGCACTTCAAGGAAAAGGGTCGGGTTATTTGAACACATGGCCTGGGCTGGCTCTTGGGGGCAAGTCCCCACAGCCTGCCCAAAGGACTCAACGCGCCCATCTTGGATACCCATTCTCCAGGGGGCCCATGAATCTGCTCCTCTCATTCTCTCTGCCTGTTTGAGGAGGCTGCTAGGCGGGGCAGTGTCTACAGCACTAGAGCTAAAATCAGGAAGACCCAGGTTCAAATTCAGTATCAGTATCACACTAGCTGTGTGACCATGGGCAAATCACTGTCTGCCTCGGTTTCCTCAACTGTAAAATAAAGATAATAGCACCTAGCTTACAAGGCTGTTGTGAAGATCACCTGGCTCCTACTAAGTGCTTTATGAATGCAAATTCCTCTCCCCTCTAAGCAAAGGATTCTTCTTCTTCTTCTTTTTTTTTTTTTTGGTCATAGCAAGGGACTTTTAAAAAGCTACTATGATGAAATTCTCTCTCGATGAGGGAAGTGAGGCTGTAGTGGCAGAGTTTAAACAGAAATAAGCAAACAATGGGACAACTAGATGGCGCATTTGATAGAGCACTGGCCCTGAATTCAGGAAGACCTGAGTTCAAATCCAACCTCAGACACTTGACACTTACTAGCTGTGTGACCCTGAGCAAGTCGCTTCACCCCATTGCCTCGCGCAAAAGAAAAAAAAAAAAAAACAAACAAGACACAAGAATGTATCACAGTCCAATTATTTGACTGAGCAGGGGTGAGAGACCACCATGTTTCCCCCTAAACAAGGGCTGTGTCCTCACAAGAGAGGTTCGAGTCCTCACAGGGAAGTGTAGGGGCGACACTGGGCCGTCTCGAACTGACAGGTTTTGGATTTAAGACGGCACTAACCTCTGAATTTCCCTCTGGATCCCTCTGGATTTCATCCTGGGCCACCTGGGAAGCCTCTGAATCACACAACTCACTGGGCTCTGGCTGCTGATTTGGGATGGTAGGAGAGGGGCTGGCCTCTGGGGTGTCTGGGAAATCCTGGCCCTGAGCATAGCTTGAGTGTTTGTTTCTGTCCTTCTCTAGATGGGACTGCCATGTAAATAAGGATAGGGCACCAACAATAAGCAGTGTTGCCCCCAGGAGGACCACCATGATTAGTGAAACATCTGCATCTTCACCGGGGTGCCCAAAGAAATGCAGTATGTTCGAGTAGCTTTTCCAGAACTCTGTTGATAAGCCAAAAGCAGAGGTATTCATGCCTCTAGTGAGATAGCTGGGAGGAAAAGGAGAGAAAGACACAATGGAACCCTTACAAAAACTACTCTTCTCTCCTCCCTGCCCACCCTGTCAGCTTCGGGCAACCAGTGATTCTCTAGAATGGGAGGCCTGCCTCCAGTCCTATGGGACCCCATAGTGGGAAGTGCTGGGGAGGACTGTCTAAGAAGCTGCAGGCTCATGACAAGAGGGCTTGCTGACTAAGAGGAAAAAAGCAGAAAACTCCCAAGGGAAATAAAGGCCCTGGAGTCAGGTGGGTAGAAGTTACAGGATCATTTCATCTATCTGCCTCCCAGCACTAAAATAGGGGGAGGCCGACTCATGCCTCACTTCCTTTACCCCTTCAGATTTTCCCACTTTCTAGGATCTAAGCCCACTCTTCCTATTCCCAGGACTCCTCCTGCTTGCAAGGCCCACCCCTGAGATGGTACATGCCACTAATTCTTTATCCTCAAATGCTTCTTGGGTTTCTTCAAAACTCAAGTTCGACGGTCTCTTAAAGCAATTCTTTCAGGAACTCACAAGAGTAGAAAGTGTTTAGAAGTGAAGCATTCCTGGTCCAGAGAAACACTGAAAGGGAAGAGGTACAATGAGGTTGGAGACTAAAGAATGGCTCGGAGGCCTTGCAAAGAACTGCCAGAGCAACAGGAGAGCACAGGGGCCAAGGTAGCAGCTGCCAACCGCCCCTAGACAGACCTCAGCACTTTCTGAATAGACTCTTCTCCACTTGGCAGGAACTGGAGGAGTGAATCTGACTTCGAATAAGGGACCAATGCTGCCCCCTACCAGGGCCATTCCTGAACTCAAGGGAGCTTACTTTGGGGAGGGGCAGCAGACATTCAAATATAAAGGCACTTAAAATCTTAATCATCAGTAAGAAAAATGGAGTAACCTCTGGGGCATCTCCCATGAACACAGGGGTTCTTAACCAAGAGTTCATGAACTTTGTTTTGAAAAATATTTTGCTAACTATATTTCAATATGATTTGTTTCCTTTGTAACCCTACATGTTTCATTCTACGCATTTAAAATCATGATTGTGTGAAGTGTTGGCTTCATTAGACTGCCAAATGGCCCATGATGCAAAAAAGAAAAGTCAAGAACTCTTGCATTAGCAGAAGCTTAGGGCAGGTTGTCTCTCTGGGGGCTTCTGGAGATAAAAGCAGAAACCGTCCCATGAGACAGCCCACTTGGGGGACATGATGTTGCTCTCAGTGAGATCTAATGACTGGGTTATATACCCTCTCGGGAACGTCCATGATGATGTGCGGGATAGAGTGACCGTGTCCGATATAAGAGTATCTTCATGGGTGGCGGGGCCCAGGCTAGGGTGGGGCTCTCTGGAAGGCTACAAACAGGTGCTGAATAATATCTGCTTTCCTGTTGCCTTTACACTCCCCTTCCCCAAAGGTTGCCTGGTTCTGGCCAAGCCCTGGGTGGGAGTGAGAAGGAAAGGGGAGAGAAGTACCTCCTCTTCTACTCAGTGGCAGAACTCCTAGCTCATCTGATTATTCATCCCATGCTTGGGTCCATGATCTATGGGGATGTCTTGGGTCACTTTTCTAGTCTTTGTCAGTGATAAGTCTGCTTGTACATTATAGGCCTGTCCACGTTCCAGTACTTTGGAGAATCGGGAAGATGCTTTAAAAACAGCCTTTGCCTTCCCCCGCCCCCAACCCAAGCATCCTTTGCAATGCCCTTCACATTCCCCACATCTAGCTCCAGGCCCTGATCTAGGAAATACTTACCACACTGCCTCTTCACTTAACTGTCATGGGGAAAAGCAGCAGCTTTGTAATGACCATTTGTACCCAGAGCCCAGATGTTTCTCCCTTCCAGAGTCTCCCCTCAATACAGCCCCCCCCTCGGAAGCCTGCTCAGAGGTGAAAAGTACTACTTGTCAATCACCGTCAACACTTTTCCTTTCTCCTCCTCGTGTGGTCCTTCATACCAAAGCAGAGTATACTGGGAGGAGTGTCCCCCCCAAAGGCAGGCAGGCAGGCAGGCAGTCAGCCAGGCAGCCAGCCAGTCAGCCAGCCAGCCCTCCAGCCCTCCAGGCCTTTCCCATGAATGGCAGGAAGCCAGCCTGCAGGTGGGAAAGGATAAGGACAGGAGAGAAGGAGAAAACCCACAAATTGTTATTCCCCTCTTTTTCTGTTCCCCTTGGGGTTGCTGTCCTTCCTTTAGAAGGAAATGACTGACATCTTTGACCTGAACAAGCATATTTTTTAAGGACTCAGGAACAGAAAGGTACCCTCACCAAGGCCTCTAGGCCAGAGCTGACTAGGAGGGGTCACCTTACATGAGACAGGTTTTCTTCTCACACTTCTCAGGATAACTCCTGCTTGGTATAGCCAGGTTCTTGCCTGTCCTGTTTAATCTCGAAAGCCGTGTCGTCAGAGGATGACTGTGCTGCTGCCTTGGGAGCCTCTTGGAGGAAGCAGATCGACAAATATGTGCCCATGTCCCACCTGCTTGGGAGGGCTCTGTGCTCCTTACTGTTTCCTTTGGGATCCAAAAAGACATGAAGCATAAACATCACCAGGAAATTTCAAATAACAAACCTGAGAGTCTAACTGCAATGAGAGAGTTGCCCTGGATGGGAGCAGGAAAGCAAGAATAGCATTGGATTTAGAGAGTCCTGGCGGAAGCAGAGCTCCCAACCAACCTCTGACATTGGTCATGGGCAGAGACTTAAGTCTCCATTTCTGTCACTGCAGAATGGGGATCATAATAAGCTATAGACCAAGGTTGCTGTGTAGATTAAATGAGATTTGTGTGTATAATAATATCCATTATATTAAAATATAATAAACACACAAATCTCATTTCATATATATTAAATTTATTTCTCTTTATATAAATCACACACACACACACACACACACACACACACATATATATATATACACACACACATTTAAAATGCTTTTGCCAGAGAAAAGAAAGCAGAGCCAGAAGAATAATAAACAAAATGACTAAAAGAATATAAATCAAACCAACATTGAGAAGCAACAAAACTCTGCTCAGTCAATGTTAGTAATGTACCATTAAAATTAAAGAACATATCCCTCCCTTTGAATTAACAATGAGGAACTGTTTGGGGGGGAATACAGCTTGTTGGGAACTGTCTGCTGTTTCATAACAAAATGTATCAATCAATTTAAAAAATAAAAGGAAAAAAAGCCTCACAAACCTTAAAAGTCTCTCTATAAATGTCAGCTATTATTATATTATTACTTTCCATGTCCCTGCTGGGGAGCCAACCAGCCTTCAACTATAAATACATCATCAATAGGGGGTTGCCATAGCAACGATGAGGCAGTGGAAGGATCTTATAGGTCAGAATGCTGCTGAAGTCACACTTAGGTCATAGAGCGCAGAATGCTGGAGCTGGAAAAGAGCCTAGGGAACATCTAGACCGACCCTCATTTTACACATGGGGAAACTGAGACCATGAGAGGTTAGGAGCCTACATAATCAGAATGCTGAGCTTGAATTGAAAGGATCTGTTGTTCAAAATCCAATCTGTGTGGTTTGGTGTAAGGCACAACCTTCCTGGGGCTCAGTTTCCACACCCTAAAATGAGGAGGTTCAATTCAATGACCTTGGCAACTCCCACTATCAACAGGGAAGTGAGTCTCTATTTTAAGAGTCTGATTTTAAGTTGACTTGTCTCAGGTCACACAGGGCAAGTTAGTGGTCTCAACTTCCAAGCCAGGGTTCTTTCTGCTATGCCACCAACGCTGGTTAAAGGAACTTTTAACCCATGGGAGCAGAGGTAATGGCTGGAGAGTTGAGGAGGTCACAGGATCAGAGATCTGGACCTGGAAGGGACTCCAAAAGCCCCAGAGAGTGGAACATTCTCACTTTACAGTTGAGGAAACTGAGGCCCACAGAGGTTAAGTGATTTACCAGTGCTCTCACACACCTTAAGTAGCAGAGGTGAAATTTGAACCCAGAGCCTCGGAGATGAGAACCAGGATTCTGTTTCAGGAAGACCACCAACAAAGCCCTTTAAGCCCCACCCCACCTCTTTCCAAGGAAAGGAGGCCGTCAGTCCCAGCTCCGTATGCCCCCAACATCACATTACTCCTACCGCTTTTACTGCCATCCCTTAAAATGGACCATTTGATCAGACTCTAGAAACTTTTTAGTTGCCGAAAATCTACCCTTCTCGTGCTCCCCTCCCTCACTGTCCAGCCTTAAGTCTTCCATTCCTCCCCCAGTCACCCTAAAGAATAACCAGCAGCCTTCCCATCCCTGGATCCTACACCCTTCCCCGCCTTTCCGGCCCTTCCCGCCCCAGCCTCTCACCTATTCCTTCCAGAGCCCCGCCCCACCCTAGGCCCCGCCCTCTCCTTAACCTTTTCTTTCTCCTTGGAGGCGGGTACTACTTGCCTATCCAGCCTCCCCCAGCAGTCTGACTCCTCAGCTCCGGGTGGAAAAGACGTTATACTTGGAAACGCGAAGTTATTGGCTGCCTCGCCCCAGCGCCAGCCAATCAGAAGGCGAGGGTGGTACGGCACTCATAATCAACGGGCCTAGCCTTTGTGACTTCAGTGGCCGCAGGTGAGCAATAGCCCCAGCCTACCACTACCTGCCGGTCAATAAACCATCTAATATAAATATAAATAAATATTTAAAACAAAATCACAATAAAGCATCCACTATATGCCAGGCACAGTTCTAAGCACTGGGGATACAGAAAGGAGCAAAAGACAGTGCCTGCCTTCAAGGGGCTTACAATCTAATCTGGCACCTAAGGGTGAGTGGGAGAGGTGGATCAGGAAGGGGAAAAGTGGCCAGTGCCCCCCCAGTCTCCTCACCCTAACACACACACACACACATACACACACACACACACACACACAGAGTCCAGAGTCACAGTATTTCATGATTGAAGGGACCATGGGCAGAGGCAAAACACATGCCAATATAGAAGTCCATTCTACAAAATGCTCCACAAAAGGTCATATGGCTTCTTTTGAATACCTCTGTTCATGAGGAGCTCATCATTTGTGGGAGCACAGTATTCCACTTTGACCCAACTCTAACTGTTCAGAAGTTTTTCCTGACACCAAACAGAAACCTGCTCCCTGCCCCTTTCTATCATTGCTCTCAGAGCCCAGTAGAACCAGTATGATCCCTCTTCTACAAGAAGAAATCCCTCAAAGATTGGAAGGCAGACCTTCAAATCTCATCTGCCCACTGAGTCTTCTCTCTTCCAGACTAAACATGGAGTCCTCAAATGGCATATTATCCAGTCCCCTCCCCATCCCAGACCCCCGCCTGTACAAGTTGGCCAGCTTATCAAAGTCTTTCTGAAAATGGGGTGCCCTCAACTAAACACAATATTGCACCCATAGTTTGACCTGGATAGAAGACATTGGGACTTTTGCCCAGATGTAACCAGGCATTTTTTCACCCAGGGCAAATCCCACTAACCCCAGTCAATGCATCTAGGAGCCATAGGGCATGGCATAGGGAGAGCAGCTTTTCTCAAAATCTGCACCCCCCCTCCCCCTCTCCCCACATTCTCATGGAAGTTCTCAAAGACCAGTTTGCCATGGAGAAGCCTAGTAAAGGGTTATCATGGGAAAGAGGGGCTATAGGCTCATTGAGTCTGGCTCCAAATGATAGAACCAGGACCAATGACTGGAACTTAAGAGGAAATTGAGGCTTGAGGCAAGAAGGGATTTCTTAAATGCTGGCTCCCTGTGGGTCTGGGACTGGAATTAGGTTTAGGACCACATCAACCATGCCTACCCTTTCCTCCAATAGGACCTGTCTCCTATTCTGGATCAATGCCCACCCCTTTTGTGAATAAGATTCCCCCAGTGGTTTCACCAACTCATAGACCTAGGATTCTAGGCTTCTGACACTTGGCCAAAGATGGGACTTTGGCTGAGCTTGATGAGAAGCTCAGAGTAAGCCCCAAGTGGGTAGATACTCCTTTACTCCTTAGATTAGCTTGTACTATCTGTGAGAACTAGTTCGGTGCAATAAGATGTTGAACTTGGGATCAGGAACCCTTGGGTTCAAATCCAGCCTGTAACACTTAGCACCCAGGTGACAAGAGGCAAATTTGTGAACTCCCTAAGCCAAGCCTCAGGCCAACTTCAATTTTCTAAGTTCCAGGTGAGTTGCTTGGTGTGGGGATGCCCCTAAAATCCAGATCAAAAAGAAATTTTAAAATCCCCGGATCTGTGTTGTACTGCGCCCCCCCCCCCTCTCTTGCCCCCCAAACCGGCCCCCCCCGGGGCCCCCCCCCCCCGAGCTCCTCGTGGCCCTGCCCCTTCCGGGGCTCTCCACCCCTACCCTACCTCCCAGAGCCCAAGCTGCTTCAGTGCCTGGGACCCCCTCACAGCTGGAGCAGTCTCAGTGAGGACCTCCAGCTTTGGGCTGGACCAGCAGCGCTGCTGCTGCTGGTGCTGCTGGTGGTGATGGTGGTGATACTGCTGCTGCCACAGCCCCTGCAACTCCTACAGTACAAATTTATAACTGAAGGCTGGAGCCCCGGCTGTGGGCGCCCTGCTGTCCGAAGCAGGGGAGTCGATATTTAGGTAATGCAAATTTACAGAAATCAAGAACTGTCTGTACACATACACACAGATGTATGAGCACCAACACACACATACCCTCCGACACAGACAGACACACATATACAATGTTCCAGTCAGACTGGACTGCAAGCTCTTTCCCAGGATTCAGCACCTTCCATCTACCATCTCCTTGCCTTTGCTTTGGCAGTACCTCACTCTTAGACCACTCTCCCGTCCGCTTTGCCTCTTGGACTCCCTGCTTTGCTTCAAGGCTGACATGGGCAGTCATTCCTCCCCCCTTCACTCCCTACCTCTAGATGTTAATGTTCTCTCACTCTTCCAATCATCTTGCACTTATGTAGTTGTTGTGGCTGCTGTAGCAGCAGCCACAGTAGCCACTAGCATTTATATAGCACTTTAAGGTTCGCAAAGTGCCTTGCACGTATCATTTTACTTAATCTTTACAACAGCCCTGTAAGGTGGGTGCTAGTTTATGCCCATTTTACAGATGAGGAAACTGAGGCTGAGTGATCTGCCCAGGGCTACATACAAGTAAGTGTCTGAGGAAGGATTTAAACTCAGGTCTTCCTGACTCCATGTCCAGCACTACATAAGCTCCCTGAGGTCTGGGTCTGGTTTCCATTCTTGTCTTTGTAACCTCCATCTGTGGTCTAAGGAGAGACCCAGTAAAGTGCCAAGGGGCTCATTAACAGGCCGAGGAAGTGAGGAGATGAATTGTTTGCGTTCCAGACATTCTGGAAGCTCATGGGCCCAAACAGAAAGGGGCTTGAGATCCTGGGACAAGGGCAGGTCCCCCACAAAGCTGTGACAGGCCTTTGACGTGGGAAGTATTTAGCAATGGTTAGGTCTGTTTGAAATTCTGTTCTTTGGTGGCAGGGGCCGGAAAGAGCTGACAGAC